ATTAGCCATTCTCAGCAAGCCTGAGTCCCTGAAGATTTTGGAGGACCCTTCCTTATTCCAGGAAAAGCTGGTGCTGCACCGAAAGGCACAGGATGGCAACCAATCCCCTGCCCCAGCAACCTCAGAGTTTTCTAGGTTCTTCAAAAAGCACTGAAAGTCTCCCGTGCTGGCCTTTGTCGCCCCCTGCACGTCTGGGAGAAATCCTGATGTCTTGCTCCAACCTCCCTATGCCTTGATGTGTAAACAAAACTCTCTGGCACCCACGGAGTCTGATGGAAGAGATGGCAGAAAGGCGATTGGATGCCGACAGCTGGGAAAATGCTGGGAACTTCATGTCAGCCACAGGCATGGCTTCTGAATACTAGATGCGGGTCTGCCTCCTGCATGGCACCCAAGCAAGAGAGAGCCAGCTGGCTACATTCGTGAAATGATGGGCATCATGTGTTGGCAGGCCACGAAACAGGGTCATCTACCTCTTGCCTTAGGCCACCCTACTGGGATGTGCCCTCGAGTTCTCCAGTTCATCCATGCCCTCGAGGGACCCGGGTGATTGTTTATTGCATCAAGCTGCTTGCTTTTGCCTTACAGAATAATTTTCTTTGCGAAGATTTGGGACTTTGCATCTGGAACGCTCCATGAGGATTGTCATTGGCTTTGGGGAGTCTGTACTGTAATCTCTTATTTCCTGAGCTTTGCTATTAGTGTTAATGTCATTGTCACCATCCTATACCTACTGCCGTTGTGCACGACTATTTTTATCGCCATGCTTCTCATTACGGATTGCTTGGGTGGTCACTGTCACATAACCCTGAACTTGGTTTCTCTGGGCACGACTCACCAGAGCCTGCTGCTGAGGCTTTCTCTGAAAGACGCAGTAACCCCACCTGCTGCGCCCTGCGCCCTGAGGCTGCCCTTCTCCCTTTCTCCCCTTGGTCTCCACGGGGCAACTAGCATCTTGAAACGCACGTTGTCCCTCCTGAGGCACGTACCCAGCCGTGTTGGCAGGAAGCCGGCTGGAGAATGTCCTTTGGTTGGCTGAGCCTATAGAAAAATGAACGAGTACCCTCCAGGGGTCGGCACCATGGTGTGCAGACCCGGAACAGCCAGGGAGGTCCCCTTGGCTCACTAGGACCCCCAAATCATGTCTAATTCCACTCGGGGGCCTTGGAACTGCGCTTGCCATCCTGCGAAGGCAGGAAAACACGTTGCCAGCTGCCTGAGCATCCTCTGCATTTTCCGTAGCCCAAAACCTGGGATCCACCATTGCCGAAAACAGAGGCACAAGGTTGTCCTACGCCCATCCCAGGCTCTTCAAATATTTATTGTCCCCTCATCGATCCAAGAACTGCTCATGCTGCAATCAAGGCGTGGAGATGGAGACTTGCGAACCTGAGCAATTGAAGAATTTTCTAAGTCCTCCAAAAAGCCTGTAAGACGCTTCTGCAGGCCCGGGACACCCCCTGCTGGCCTGGGTGCGCCATGCACGACTTCCTCCCGCAACCTCCCTGAATGCAAACCCAGGTGTCTGGACTCAGGCCGCTCTGGGTAGAGCGGATGGCAGGCGGTCCGCCAGGAGGTGCTGGCTGCGATAATGCTCAGGGCTCAGTGGGCGCTTCTGGATGCTGTCATATAATTCAAATCAAAGTGTGTGTGTGTGTGTGTGTGTGTGTGTGTGTGTGTGTGTGCGCGCGCGCGCGTGCGCGTTTGTGCCCATGTGTGTGGCTGCAGATGTAAATACAGGAGCAGCATGTTGGATACCAAAATTTCTACAGAATGACCTATGTTTATTGGATTTACTGTGGCTTTTTCTCTTTATGGTTCATGCTTGTAGATAGTATTTGATTCTTACCTAAGATTCTGATGAAATCAATAAATATGATTTCATTTGAATAAATTGTTTTGAAAAATAGAAAGATGTCACCCAGGACGTCTTAACTAGGATATCTTTTTGATTTCCTAACATATGAAATTATCACCAACTCGGTGGCTTACTTAAGAGAAATTTATTCCCTCACAGTCGAGAGGCCAGAAGCCCAAAATCGAGGCGCCTGCAGGACCACGCTCCCTCTGACAGCTCTAGGGGAG